ATGAATGTTTCTGTTCAATTATTATTTTATAGATGAATGTTTCTGTTAAATTATTATTTTATAGATGAATGTTTCTGTTCAATTATTATTTTATAGATGAATGTTTCTGTTCAATTATTATTTTATAGATGAATGTTTCTGTTCAATTATTATTTTATATTTGAATGTTTCTGTTCAATTATTATTTTATACATGAATGTTTCTGTTCAATTATTATTTTATACATGAATGTTTCTGTTCAGCCCTGAGACGATTCTGTTGTGACTTGGAGCTGAAGAAATAAACTGAATTGAATTGAAATTTTAACCAAAGTTTTGCTACATTTAATTTTTAGATACTTTGTTGCTAATTTAAGCTACAATTTAGATATTTGTAGTTTTGTATTTTTATTTTTATTTTTAACAATTGAGCTAATTTAGGTTGTGATTTAAAATGTTTTGGCTGCATTTTTTTTTCTATGATTTCAACATTTTGAGTGTTTAAATATGGCTTTTCAAAATTTTTATTTCAACAAGTTTTATTTTTTGCTTTGAAAGACAAGCGTAACATTTGTAACACCAGGTGTTCAACCAGATGTTCAACAAGGTGTTGTACCAGGTGTTGTACCAGATGTTCAACCAGGTGTAACACAGATGTTGTACAGGACATTGTACCAGGTGTTGCGTCAGTTGTTGTACCAGGTGTCTCAACTTGGTGGACCAGACGGACCACCAGGTGTGCTGTACCTGTGTTCCGTTGAAGACTCCAACCTGGACCAGGCGACCAGGTTTCTGCTGGTAGTTCAGGATGCTGTAGGTGGCGAAGCGCCGGTCGCCATCATCGTTAAACTCGATTCTTCCCGTCAGGCCGTCGGGGTACTTTGATGACATCAGCACCCTGCAGAGCCAACCAGAGAGCAGGACAGATTTAAATACTTTTAGAAACACGTAAGTGAACCAGTGATGATCCTGGACAGAATCAGCCTGACTGATGGAGTATTTGAGTCATCCAGTGAAGAAGAGGAGGAGGAAGAGTGACAGCGAGGGTAATCATCTCGGTTGTTTCACTCGGACTTTAATCTGAATACAGATCAGATCAACGAGTTGTCTCTTGGATTCTTGTTTTCATGTCCTGCTGACAGAGACGAGTCCGCTCTGAGATCATAACAGCCAGAAATCCCACGCTTTCTGTGCTCATTAAACTCAACACGGTGGCTTTGGGGACAGCAGCAAGAGTCTGAGACGAGCACTGACCTTCAGACATGAAAGCTTTTAGCTCGTCATCATCTAGAGTCAGAGGTTATCGTAAAGAAACATAATAAATACATTTAATTTTGAGCACTTGAGTCCAGCTGTAGGTTATATATATATATATTATATATAAATTCATAAATAATATATTACTATATTAATATTAATTATGTGTCCTGATGCATACTCAATAATCCAGGTAGAAAAATCTAACAAGGTTGTCAGGTCATTCTTCATCAAAGAAGAATCCGTGTAGATGACATGACTTAACCTTGTTAGAATATTAATTATTATTATTATAATTATAAAAATATACATTTATATACTTATTCCTTAAACGCCCCCATTTAAAAAAATAAAATTAAATAAAAAAATTAACAACTGAAGAAATATAAAAAACTGGCTTATATTTGTTTTGTGTGTATTTACACAAATGTTATGTTTTTTAACATATTTAAATATTTTAAATTTTACACAGAGGATGCAAAAAAAGGCAGAAGATGTAACTCGACATTTATGGTAAAAATAAAACAAATATTTAAATCAACAGATTCTTGCTTAACAGAAACAGTCTGAGTTCTGCACGCCGGGTCATCATCATGACCCGTGAACTATCGGCAAAATGGTAAATGGTAAATGATGAATGGTAAATGATAAATGGTAAATGATGAATGGTAAATGATGAATGGTAAATGATAAATGGTAAATGGTAAATGGTAAATGGTAAATGGTAAATGGTAAATGATAAATG